ATGATATCAGGTGTAGTAAAAAGAAATCCATTATTTTTCCAATAGATGGCTTTAGTTATCTGTATCTCGCGTTGTATAAGTCCGATCGGGTTCCACTAGATGGCGTTAGAAAGATGAGATTTCGTACTAAAAAAACTTTTCTGACAGTTTTGTGATTAGTTGACTCAGTTTTGTTTGAGCGCGCATCAAAGATGGACACTAGCAAAGAGAAAATACGCTATATTTTAGTTTTTCTTCGATAAAAGCGAAAACGCAAGCCAGGCGGCTGAAAATGTGAATAGTGTTTATGGTCCTGATACTGTAACAGCCAATCACGCGCAATTTTGGTTTCGTCGATTCCGTTCCGGTAATTTCGATGTCAAAGATGCACCACGCACTGGAAGGCCAATAATTGTCGAAAATATCGATAAAATTATGGACATTGTCGAGTCCGACCGTCATGTAAGCACTGTTTCGATTGCCCAAGAGCTATCGATTGCCAAAGATTGCACAGCAAACCGTTTGGAATCATTTGAATAAGGCTGGATACAAAAAGAAGCTCGATATATGGGTGCCACACGAGTTAACGAAAAAAAACCTCATGGACCGAATTTCCATCTGCGAATCGCTGCTGAATCGCAACAAAATCGATCCATTTCTGAAGCGGTTGGTCACTGGTGATGAAAAGTGGATCACTTACGACAACGTTAAGCGAAAACGGTCGTGGTCGAATCGCGGTGAGCCGGCGGAAACGGTGGCCAAGCCAGGATTGACGGCCAGGAAGGTTTTGCTGTGTTTGGTGGGATTGGCAGGGAATTATCTACTATGAGCTGCTCCCCTACGGCAAAACTCTTAACTCGGAACTGTACTGTCAACAATTGGACCGTCTGAAGGAAGCAATCGCCCAGAAGCGGCCAGCTTTGGCCAATAGGAGAGAAATTGTGTTCCATCAGGACAATGCCAGGTCACACACATCGATAGTGATTCGTCAGAAGCTCCGGGAGCTTGGTTGGGAGGTTCTTATGCATCCGCCTTATAGTCCGGACCTGGCACCAAGTGATTACCATCTGTTCCTGTCCATGGCGAACAATTTTGCTGGTGAAAAATTCGCTTCAAGAGAGGCTTGTGAAAATCGACTGTCTCAATTTTTTGCCAATAGGGACGAGGGCTTCTATGAGAGAGGCATAATGAAATTACCTTCAAAATGGCAACAAGTTAACGAACAAAACGGCGCATATTTGATCTAAATCGGATCATTCTAACTATGGTAATTAAAGCCTTCAATTTCATGCAAAAATAATGGATTTCTTTTTACTACACCTGATATGTTTGAGGCATTTTTGATGTGTAAGACTATCGACCAATTTATGTACTTTTAATGTAAACAAACAATATTAATAAGTAATAAAAGATTTGTTCAGTACATTTTATATACATTATCATTACTATGATAAAATATCATTTATAAGTATCTGATATATATTTGAGATACTTTTAAAATATCTGAGTACCTGTATCTAGGTGCTGGAAGTGTGCGAGCTATTCGAATCCGAATCCCTATGATTCGAATCCGAATAATTCGAAAATTTCGAATCACAAAGATTCGAATACGAATCAAATACATTAGCATTTGCGCGCATCAGCTGCAAAACGGGTCATCTGGGCCTGTATGTTTGAATCCTTAACTTGTAATTAACTTAACTTATAATTAATAATTTAATTATAAATTATTTTAAATATTTAAATATATATTTTATTTTAAAATGATGTTACAATATTAATATTCCCTTTCATATTAAAATCATTATTTGCATGTTCATTATTTGCATCATTATTTACATGTTTAGTAGTCATGTTAAATTTTTTAATGATTCGATTCGAATTCAAATCTAAAAAATGAGGTTCGATTCGATTCGACATAAAAGTTCTTGATTCGCACAGCTCTACTAGATATATTGTTCACATGTATCTGTATTTGTATCGAAATGCATTTGAAATGTATCTTACTCATTATTCTTTGTTACATCATTGTGGAGAAGGTCATATTCGATATGTTCATTTTTATTGCGCTGCTAATGAAAAATTCAGTTGAAATTGCCAAATCTAAGATTGCAGATCCAATATCGTAGCTTCTAATAATTAACAGTATTCCATGATTGGTGAGTGAAATATGTTGAAAGAAATTACTTCTTTGTTGAATGATTTTGGTGAAAATCTCGAGTTTATGTCCAAAAAACATCACGTTTGATATATATTCATGATGGAATATCAAAGTTGGCCACTTGAAGCCGCCAAATTTGATCCGTCGTTTTGAATTTTGAAATTTCGATCCTGAATTCGTTATTGGCGACCCAAAACAAAATCCTTATAAATAAGTTTTCACGTAAAAATATCAATTTATTTTGTCTCACCAGTTTTGGCACCAATTTTGGCAAAACGTTAATTTCGAGTCCACCAGCGAACTGGTTAAAGATCGCAATAATTTCACAGGAGGAATGCATGAACGCCAATCTCACCGGAAGACGCGCGCGAAGACACCTCCGTTTTCAAGGGGATTTTAACGCCGGAATTACTGAGCGTTCAAAAACGGTCGGTTTAGAATTTCTTACAAAGATTGTTTATTTTCCTACAAAACGATTTATATTCTTAATGAACGTTGAAGAGAAACCTAAAGAAGAGAAAACAAGAGAAACAAGGCAGCTCAAAACCGAAGTAAATAAATATTTCTGGCCTTGCGTAACACACTTTTCCAAAAGCCTGCCACTTCGATCGCTCCGGTAGAAATAGATCGCGTCAACCGTCAATAATTTTAATTCTTGACACAGCGCGAACGCCGGCGATAATTTTATGGACGCGTCGTTCGAGATTATGGCGGTTCTACGCAATGGGGAAACCGACTGACGAAAAGAAAACAAACAACTTTCCCGATTATCTCAATATTCTCGAATTTGCGATATCGGCAAGTCCGAAGCCCCGTCTACCGTCGATTTCATCAGACTGTCGTTAAGGTTGTTCTCATTCTCTCTCTCTCTCTCTCTCTCTCTCTCTCTCTCTCTCTCTCTCTCTCTCTCTCTCTCTCTCTCTCTCGTTGCCGATATCAAACAGCACTTACGACTACCGTCGTAAAGATAAATACATGACGAAACTGATACTCTCATTTAGCGTAACAGTTTAACTACCAAACTACATTCCCCGACCGATCGAGCGCAGCATCGAAGTAACAAATAGCTCCCCCGACGGTCGCAACGCGCGAATATCTGCTTTCGTGCGCGCGGGTTGGGTTTAACGAAAATTAAATCCCGCGTAATTTCGCCGCAATTAAGGCGCAGGCCGGTAATTTGCGTGCCTCAACGGCGCAATCTCTCGCGGTATTTTTAGAGCGGACAAGCGAGCGAGCTAGCATGCGGGAGAAAGCGCACAAGAGAATGAGACAGAAAGAGAGAGAGAGAGAGAGAGAGAGAGAGAGAGAGAGAGAGGGAGGGAGAGAGAGAGAGAGAGAGAGAGAGAGAGAGAGAGAGAGAGAGAGAGAGAGAGAGAGAGAGAGAGAGCCGCGCCACGTACGGTGCGTACTACGTCGAGACACCTATGCGATCGGTCTCGGGATCGAGATAAGCAGCTCTCGCGAAGAAATAAGTAGTTTAAGACGGTGGTTCGCGTGGCCGGAGATTGGCCTGATGTCGTTCACTACCACGGAGTGGGGGAGTGTTTTATGTGCGGAGCCCCGGTGCTATGCATCTGCAGGTGCATCCATCCCGGCCGCTCGATCGGAACACGTCGAGAGCCCCGTGCTTCCCGTGCCAGGGAAACACGAGACTCCGTGCGGGAAAGGGGGAGGGGGGAGAGGGAGGGAGGGAGGGAGAAGGAGAGAGAGAGAGAGAGAGAGAGAGAGAGAGAGAGAGAGAGAGAGAGAGTGTCACGTCCGCCTTTATGATAGAACGTTATCGGATAACTGGCGCGCTCGATCGGCATCGGAGGCGCGCGACGCCCGCATTCTCACAGACGAATCCAATGGTGGCTTGACGCGGTTTGGCGTGTGCCGGGTAAAAAACGAGAAGAGGGAAAAAGGTCGTCTCGCCTTGGGCCGCCTGCGACGTTCAGGAATAATCAGCGGTCGGTGAAGCGGTCGCGCGAGGAGTCGGCGCGATTTCTCGCCCGTGATTTGCAACGACCAGGCGGTTCCGGTGTGTTTTAGGTGAAATGGCAACGATCATGCGCGCACACGCGCACCACCGAGCGCCAGTGGAAAGCGGCCGTTAACGCGCGCGCGTGCGCGTTCTACATCAGTCGTATATCATTTGCATAAATGTCTGTCCTTCCGAACGCGAACATAATCTCATGCAAATTTATCGTTCCAATTCCATCGCCGAGTGACACTTCGCGTAACCGCGGGAACAACTGCGATAAAACGGTCAGATTATTGGGCCGATTATTATAAAGTGCTCGCCGGCGTAAGACGCGGATAACACGGCGAATAAATATTCAACGCCGCAGATACAAGGTCTCGACCCCCCGACCACGAGATGCGCCCAGAGCGTCGCGACTCGTCCGGAAGCGGAGAACTCGCGAACGTTACGCAACTGAGAAGCCGACGGCTGCGACGGTACCGCAAGATCCGCACACTCGTACGCCAATTTGTAGCGCGATTTGCCCGAGCGGATCTTGAGCGCGACACAAGCGGCGCGTTGTGTTTCTACGGCAGCAGGAGCTTCCTCGAAAGGATAGACGTGACGGCGGAAACCGGCCGAAAAATTCGCCTGTTATTCGCGTGCTGGCCGAAACACGCCGATCTCGTCGGGGATCTGTTGGCATCTCGCTGATGGTGGGGGAACGACGCACCGTGCGCGGGAAGAGTGGGAGCGCGCGACGTGCCGGTCTTCTTTGGGGTTCCGTCTGGAGAGGAGGAGGCGGCAGCGGCGGCGACGGCGGCGGTTGCTGTGATGGTGATGGAGGTGGTGGAGGCGATGGTGATGATGGTGGTGGTGGCGATGGTGATGGTGGTGGTGGTGGTGGTGGTGGAGGTGATGGCGGTGGTGGTGGTGAGTCGCTCGAGCGACGAGCGCCGGTGCTTGTCGCGTCGTACGGCGGCGGAACCGGTGAGAGCGAGAGAGAACGAGCGAGCGCAGAACCAGACAGACAGACGGACGAGCGCAGCGCGCAGCGAGCCGCACTCGCAGGGCGATCGCGCGCGCACAGAGAAGTTAGCCGTCAGCGGCGCACTCCTCGTCCGTTCTCGCTCGCCGCCAGTCAGCGGAGCGGTCAAGAGCGACGGTCCGGTGGTGGCTGTCCCACGCGCGGTGCCTTCCGTCTGGTCATGCGTCATCCTGTAGTCGACCTGGTCACAGCAGGAGCACCCATCGAGTCGTTGTCGCCGTCACCGTCGTCATCATCGTCGTCGTCTTCGTCGCGCTGTCGAACCGCGAACGCGACGCACCAGCGAGTCCTGGAACGAAGGTCGCCGGCACCGCAGCCGGCTCGGACGACTCCCGACGCCGGTCGTCGGCGAGCGAACGCGCGCGAGCGGCAGACTGGCGCGGTGGAGTTGATGAAGCAGCGGATCTCCTCATACGTCGCGCTTTGCGCCCGGTTCATTCGCACCTCGCACGCGCCACGGCGAACCCCGCGTCCCTCGCAGAGGACTGTGTGTTATCGTCGTCGCACCGTCGCGCCGCGCCGAGCCGGCCGTCCCGTAGCGACTCTCGTGCCGCCGACGTTCGCCGGCGTCTGCAAGCACGCGACTCTCGCACCCTGAGAGAAAGAGACGTCGCCGTAGCGGGAGGACCGAGCGGTGCGCGCGGCCTGCCGCAACTCAAGCCTATCGCCGCACGACCCCGCCAGAAGCGAGTCAGTGCTACTCCCGATTTCCGCGCGAGAGCCGCTCTCGTCGGGGACGTTACCCGCGCGTATCGGTTTTCTGTCCCTCTCTCTTTCTTTTTTTTTCTTTCTCTCTTTCTCTCTCTCTTTCTTTTTTCTCTCTTTTTCTTTTCTCTCCCCCTCTCTCCCTCTCTCTCTCTCTCTCTCTCTCTCTCTCTCTCTCTCTCTCTCTCTCGCTCGCTCGCTGTCTCTCTAGCTCTCGCCGCTCCGCCGTCGATCCGTCGCGGCTCGTCTCCGTCAGTCCGCGCCAATGACTCGTCACCTCGACGAGACGCAGTGCCGCGAAGAACCGCGCCACGACGATCTTCCAGCGACGGCCGGAGCTCGTGAAAGTGCGGCGACCGAGTGCCGGTGGTGGCAAGGATAATCGAGAAGGGATGATCCCGGAAGCCTAGTGGGGAGACTAGTCCCTGTCTCTCTTTCTCAAAAGTGAAGTCCCCGTGGATGTGACTCGTTGCGTGGTGAAGCACGCTCTCGCGACTGGCCGCGTAAGTGACACGCGTCGGACACTCCGCGGTGCCCTTGCGCGCGATTCACCGGCTGGCTCCCCTTCCGTGTGTGCCACGCTCGCTCGAACTCGCGCGGTACCGTCACCGGGACTACCCCGACGGCGCAGCGAAGGAACACGCGGTCACTCCACGCTGGCATGGTTACGTAAACGCGCGGCAAAGGTCGTTGCGCTGCACCGCTGGATCGACCAGAAGTCCATTTTCTCGCGGGAGGAAGTGACGGCGCCAACGGTTGCCGCTTCTTTGTCCCGGTAGAAACCGGAGAAGAAGGAAAGAAACGTCGAGGGAAAACCGCGCGAGTGCACCGGACCGCCCGCGAACGGAGTGCCTCGCCGACGAGTCCTTGGCCGACGTCTCGGCGAGAGGACGCTCCGTGTGGCCGGCGGAGGTATCGCTGAAGGATCCTCACGACTGCCGCAATTCGACGTCGATAATGACAACGTTGGTGAGCAGCACTTAGCGCAATCTCGCGTTATCCGTCATCTCCGGGCGCCGTGTGCCAACGACACCGCGTCGGACGTCGCAGCGATCGCCATTATCGCCAGATAGAAGAAGATATCGCAGATATCCGAGAAAGAGATAACGCGATCGCTACGACTCGTGATTCTCGGCTAGCAGAGTCGTGGGAGGACGACGTCGACAACAACAATAATAACAGCAACAACAACAACAACACAATCGGCTCATCTCGCCGTCGCAGCAGCCTGTGCAAAGGGACGCAAGGACCGGACGGCAGCTCCGGGACGCGATCGGAAGGAAGTAACATACAACAACGTCCAGCCTGTCGATCGACTCGCCGGGACCGTCGTATATCTCGGCGGTAATGCGCGCAAATTACGCGTCTCGCGCCTCTCTCTCAGCACGAGGGCAGCGCGACCAGAGGGACGAGGCGCAGCAGCGAGGAGCGCGTTTATACACTCGAGGATAATTCGCCCGTGTTGCGCTTCTTTTACCTGCCCGCCTGCCCGGCTACGATCGCGCCGTCCTCTTGTTACCCGCTTGAGGAACGAGCGCTTCGTGACTTGGACGCGGAATCTCCACTCGCGCTCAGCAGCCGCAGGCCGCGGCGTGTCAAGTGCGGCCAGGCAGGAGAAATCGGGAGAGAAGTCGCAGGATTCACCGCGGCAGTCACGTGTTGTTGTCGCAACATTCGGCACTGTCTCACGTGCCGTCGCGCGAGGAGGCGCCCCTCTCGCGTCCTCGGAGGTGCGTCACGGCGACCGGCGTGCACCCCGCGGATGGTCATTTGCGATTTCCTCGGCAAGTCGCGGCGAACGCCAGCGAGAATTGCACGCGAGAAGGCCGACGCGGAGCTGGCAAGCGGAGAAGCGCGCGCGAGAGAGAGAGAGAGAGAGAGAGCCCTATGACTGAGAGTGGCCCGCGACATTGAGCGAGAGACATTCGGCGAAAGTTGCCGGCGAGTTCAAGGCGAACGGACACCAACCCGTCGGCCAAGCCGTCTGATGAATTTCTCGCGACACGAGCGCGCATTCCTCGCCTCGGGGACATGAAACGTCCTGTACCGTTAGCGCGCGCCGCGGCGCTTTAGAACGAGAGGATCCATTTGCCGCGAGATCTCTCGCGGACGAACTGCGTCGACAATCGCCGGCCGATTCACTCCCGTGCGACGACTCGCTCATTCCCGCGAACGAATACTCCTGCGGACGCTTGCACGCGCCCGCGCGCGCGCACGCGCGCGCCAGCGCGCTCGCGACTCTCGTTGGACGTCGAAGGAGGTCAAAGTTCGCGCCCCGTGGAGCGCGTGGATTCGAGGATTCGAACGGACCAGGCGACTTGCGGATCTACAGCCACGATTGTGCCCGTGTGATTGCTTCATCCTGGTGAGTATCCTTGGAAGATGACGGATTTCGAGCGTATCTCGCCATTTCTCGCGAATTTGTGTCGCGAACACACAGACTTCTATATATAAGCTAGACTGAGAACTTCCATTGATTTTCGTGTATAAAAGCGTCCCTTATGTAAAACATAAAATCGTGCACACCTGCGCATTGCAAGGTCCCGAAAGGAATGTAATTGCACCATACAGACCAGAAAATGTTAATATTTATCCAATATTTAATATTTATGTGAACATTGAATGTGACATTGCAAGGGGAAATATTAAATATTGGATAAATATTCACATTTTCTGAAGTAAAAATGTCTGTACGGTGCAGTTACATTCCTTTCGAGATTTTGCAATGCGCATGCGCGGAAATTTTAATACATGCTTTTAGGGGACGTGTTAAAGAGACCACTTATCGGTCAAGTGTGTATAATATAGAAGTCTGTGCGCGAACGCGACAGATTTTTCGTAGACATGCGCGCGGAGGAGAAAAATGCGCCGCGCGATCTCGCCGGATGATTTCGGAGCGCGCTTCCGCTCTTAAATCGAGATCCGCGCTTTCACGTGGCCGCGCTGTAAATAATTTCCGATGATCGATCTGCCGGATCGTTGACAGGATGATTTGTCGGTTAAGCGGCGCGCGCGGCTACCGAGCACGACCGTCAAGTTTTCGCGCCGCGCGTCGCGGGATTAACATAATTAAATATACAAGCCGGCTAACAAGTCCTAAGTAGTCGGGAGCCGGCAGTAAAAAAGAGGAGGGAAAAAACGCGAGAAACGCGAACACGATATCCTTACGCATGCGTGCGTGCGTGCGTGCGTGCATGCGACTCGCGTACGCGGTGCACGCGTTATCTCGACGTCATCGGCCGCGTGCAACGCAAACAATTTGAGGGAGACGTTCAACCTCACGCACAACGCGTGAGGCGCGTTGGCCACGATCGGCCGCGCTCCCTCTGCATTTCGAACATGATCATCACATGTAATACCGTCGCGAGGAATAATAAATTCGTGTACGTCGAGACGAAGAAGAACGAAGAACTGAGAGGGAAAGGGCAAGAGAAAGACAGAGAAAGAGAGAAAAAAAGAGCAAAACACCGGGCGAGATATACACGGTGTCTTCGTGCTTTCTTTTAGCGGGGCGACGGGCTCTTTGACGGTGAATAATGATTACACTCGTTGTGATTAGACTCGTGAAATTCGCCATACTTTCTCGGGAACATTGCCTCCCTGGCCGTTCACGATACACCCAAAAAAAGTAATTTTAGAACAAATGAAATCATTTAAATTTTAGAGGATTTTATTCTTATATATGGCCTCAAGAGGACTCTTCTAAAATTAAGAAGAAAATATCATAAATACATTATTCTTAAAGTTAGAGGGATTATATGTTATGTATAATGCAAAGCTATTTTAATATACATTTCCTCTTATATACAGATTATTTAATCTTTTTTTTAAGAAGATTATTATTTATTCTTACTGTACTTTATTTTTACTGGTTATATTTACTGGTTAAGTTAATTTGAAAAAATTATTATAATGTATAACGAAAAGTAATGTATATACGAGGGTAGTCCCAGAAGTACCTAACCTAACAAAGAAACATAAAAAATTTGAGAAAAAATATCTTTATTTCTCTACATAGTCTCCTTTTAGCTGAATACACTTTTCCCAGCAATGTTCAATAGCTTCGATACCCTGTTTATAGTGAGAATCGTCGAGCTCCTCAAAATAGCCATCAAGCCACCTTGGTCCATTGTTTTGACTGTTTCTTCGTCTCAGGTGTGAAGTGATGGACCCATGTTTCATCCATGGTTATGAATCAACGCAAAAACTCGGCTTTATTGTTGCGAAACTTCGCCAAACACTCGATTGAAACATCCTCACGACGCTGTTTTTGTTCCAATCGCGGCATCCATCTTGCGCACAGCTTTCTCATGTCCAAATTTTCAGTCAATATGAAATGTACTTTTTGAAATGCCTACCATGTCTGTTAACTCGCGCACTTTCAGTCGACGGTCATCCAATACCATTTTGTGGATTTTCTTCACCATTTCTCGCGTGGTCACCTCATTTCAGTCGACCACTGCGATGTTCGTCTTGGCAGTTCGTACGGCCTCGTTTAAACTCTGCCACCCAATATTTTACTGTTGTAAACGAAGGAGCAGACTCCCCCAGAGTAGAATTTAGCTCCGCTTTGATATTGGTTGGACTGAGGCCTTTCAAATGAAAGTATTGTATCACATAACGATGACCAATTTTTTCCATGTTTACAAATTCACTGAGAGCGTTCACTATTGATGGCTGCCAAACAAATACTAAACAACGTAGCGTCGTCAAACTTCAAACTTAAGCTTTATAAGGTTGGTACTTTCTACCATAGTCATTCTTTTCAAACAACAACTGCTATCTATACGTCAGGTCAGGTACTTCTGGGACTACCCTTGTATATATATAGATGTACCTCTGGCTCCAGTTCTACAATAAGTAAACACGAATGAAATAAGATCATCGTAACAAAAAAATTTCCAATCAGTTTTGTTATGGACTTCGTAGCTACAAACATGTTCATCATGACCAATTGTATAAAACATATAGTGAATTCGATTGTTTGTACTAGTGCGCACTGAGTGCCTATTAAAGCTCGTTCATTGTTCATTTTTATATTTCAAATCGTGTTAAACACATCTTTTTAAATATTTCCTCGCCAGTAAAATAGTCTATATGGCATTCATTCAGATCATTTTGTTGGCCAAAAAATATTTAAAGGTATATTGAACACGATTTTAAATATAAGAATGAACAATGAACGAGCCTTAATAGCCACTCAGTGCGTACTAATGCAAGCAACCGAATTCGCTAATAGTTAAAATAAAAAATCATTCAACTTCTTGCAATAGATTATATACTGTTTATTTGATCAAATATGGGTAAATTATCTTCGTTACATGTTACAGCAATACACATACCTTTTTTAAAAAGCGTTCCAAATATTCTGACCCATAAGCATATGATTATTTTTTCGCTCATGTCTGGAAATAAAGCATGACTGAACAAAAGAAACCGACGATTCAGATCAACATATTCCTCTTCGTATAAGAGGAAAATTAATCGATATAAAAGGAAATCCTCTTCAAAGAAGAGGAAAACAGTTGGAATAATATCTAATAAATTTTAGATGAATGGTTCACTTTGATCGCTTTATGGAAAGAGGAATTCTTTTTGTATAAAAAGCTTCGCTTAAAATATAAGACTATGGGAAAAATCACTTTACAAATAGAATACTTTTTTTGAGTGTACAAGTTTTCTCCAAGCGAACGTCGACACTGAGCGAATTCTTGTCTAAACATTTTGCGTTATCCGAAATACGAAGATGCAAATATTATATTGTATATAATAGAAATAAGACACAAAAAACAATGAATAATCGACACGAGCGGTTTTCGGGTGAGCGGTGAGAAAAACTGACTGTATTAAGAGTCCGTTGCAGCAGAAGCCTCGTGGAATTTTAACGCCAAAGACCGATAGTATTCTTCGAGTCTCCTCAACTCTGCGCGATTAACAGAGAGGGGAAGAGAGAGTGAGAGAGAGAGAGGGGGGGGGAGATAGAGAGAGAGAGAGAAAGAGAGAGAGAGGGGAAGAAAGGTTGCCTACAAATGATAATGCACAATGTCACGAAACTCAAATCTCAGCGCAATCAGCTACGATAAAGTTATCAGCGCAGCTTGTTAAGACAAAGCACGGCCGAGTGGATTCACCTTGTATAAACAACGGCAAGTGCGCGAAAGAGCCGAGATCGTAAATCGTATTTCGCAGGATCCACCCTGTTAACTCGCGGGTTAAACGGCTCAGTACGCCCATTTTTCGGGGTGAATCACGCACTCTTCCTTTTGATCCTTGCTCTCGCATACCCTCGTTCCCCTCTTGTACCTCCCCGCCCCCTCCTCCATCGGTACATCGCGCTCGACCTCTTTCGGTCAATTTCCGATCGGGTTAAGCAAACATCGGCCGGTTCTCGCCTCTATCGCGATAATGGCTGTAATTTTGGCAGCTTCCCGATCCTCCCGCCCTTCCTCGCGCTCACTCTTCCTGTTGCATCAGCCACCCCGTCGGTTTCATGTGCGCATACGCGCAGATTGCAGAGGCCGATCGCGGCGGATTTGATTGCACGGCGCACGACCGCCGATTTATTAACCCTCTGAGCGCTCGCTTGCCCTCCTCGCACCTGCAACGACCTCGGCACGGCGGAGTGAGGCAACATCTCTCGTCTCTATCTTCAGGTAACATTTTCTTACGCTCACCGTCTCATGAAAGAGAGAGAGAGAGAGAGAGAGAGAGAGAGAGAGAGAGCCGTCTGCTACCGCGCCTTTACGAAGCTGCGCTTCTATATTCGAGTATTACAAATTTCCCCACGTGGAGGGATTAAATCGGGAGCAGCGGCGTGGGCGACACGCGTCATCCCTCGATAATCGCACTCTGACGAGGAATTTCGCGATTTAGACACGATTAGACGTCACGACGTCATGCTCGACGGTTAATACGAGAATAGCAGCGAGGGCAGATTTCATCAGATAAAGCCTCAATGACAAATACCCAGGACGTGCAGAGGAAAACTTGAAGGAAACGAGAAATGCGAGAAAGGACCCCGCACAATTCCTTATGTAAATTATATTTCGGTGAAATTGGCTAAATATTTGATATGTTGTAGATCTTGTCTCTCTGATAAAAAGTTTCCATGAGCATAATCCCCAATAATTGACCATTTGACTTCTACGAGGTGTCAAATGTCAAAAGTGTCTAATATCACAATTTCTTATTTTCAACGAGTAAAATGTATTCCTACTTTGATTTACATCTAAAAATTTTTGTTCTGTGTATATTTAAAAATGAAAAGTTATAAAGGTGACATTGATTTGAAGATGATAACTTAATTTCAGAGATTTCAGTGATACTTTCATTTTCTATATGAAACACGTGTTTCAATGTATAATA